GATAAAACCATCATTTGAATGTAACAATAAAACATTAAGAGCAGATTTTGCAAATGAGATAATCAACATATTTTTTTTGAACAAAGAGATAATCAACATATTAAAATGTGATAATTAAAAGTTAAAGAAGGACTAACGTTTTCTGCCAAAATAATTAAAAAAATAAATTTTTTATTTGAATCTAAATTTAAACAAAGTAAATAAAGGCTTTTTTGAAAAACTCTTTTAACTAAATATTTTTTTACTCTTGTCAAAAATATTTTTATAAAAATTACTGAGACCTCGTCCCACATACGATCAATAGAGATTTATCTTTTGACACACCCATGATAATTACAACATATCTAAATTAAATTGGTGATGTCATGACATGTCTCGTGCCTATCATTTTTATTATAAATCTTATATATGCCACCTACTATAGGTCCCACACGTTTATTTAATATGGGTCCCACATGATCTTCCATGCATGAAAACTAGAGAGAATAAGATAAGTTAAAAAAAATTAATTAATTCAATTAAATTTTAAATGTCTAACTTTAAAAATTTATAAATTTATCTTTTAATTTTTTAATTTTAATGTGATAAATTTATAACTTATATTTTAATTTTTAATATAAAAAATAAGTTTATTTATTATTCAACAAAGTTAAAATTTTAAAAATAATTTATAAATTTATTACAATAAAATCATAAAATTGAGAGATAAATTTATAAATTTTTAAAATTTAACAGTTAAAATTTAATTTAAATTAATTGAAACCTCTTTATCATTTTTTCTAAAAACTAAACAAATAAATATTAATATATAATGTTTTAAAAAAATAATGTTAAATTACTGTAGATGACTGTAGATGTAAACTAACTTGACATGCATTTGCATGCGGTGAAACGGGAAAGATAGAGAGTGAGTCCTGAACGACATGGACTGAAGGGAAAGAAGCAAATTAATTAAGCAAGGGATTTGCAGGCATGATTCTGTCACATGTCTATTGTTTGCTTTTATGATATCCTGTACTTTGTTGTCCCTCCCATCCCTGGCAGATCAAACGTGGCCACGAATAATTCTGCCATCTGTTAATTTGCTTTTGCTTTATTCATCCATCCATCCGTTAATTTGCACGTATTTAACCTAGAGGTGTTCACGGGACGGGACGGGACCGGGACATCCCCATCCCGTGTCCCGGAAAAGATCGGGACTGAATTTTAGTCCCGTGTCCCGTCCCGTCCCGAAAGTCGTCCCGTCCCGTTAAGAGTCGGGACGGGACCGGGACAAGATCGGGACGTCCCGCCGTCCCGATAAATGAAATAATATCGAAAAAAGATCTGGATAATAACATTCATTAAAATTTTAAATCATATAATTTATTAAGTTAAAATCAAAACAACACAAGTACATAAATAATAATAATTTAAAATCAATTATTGAATTATATTAATCATAACTCACATTATAATAATAAACACAATGATCTTTACACTATAAGATTAGTAACAACAGACAAGTCAAACATAATATCAAATCATTGTTATTCTACTTTAGTGAAGATGTACTAAACTAATTACTCTTCTAAAAATAAGCAAAAATACGTTGTAAATAAAAGTTATTAAATAGATATATATAAAAATAAATTATATTAATATAATTAATATATTATAAAAAAAGATATCGCCATGTTTACTCCATGCCATTAAAATTATCAATATAAAAAAACTTTAGTTTTAAATAAGAATTGTAAGTATTAAAATAATTGATATAATTAATATAAGTATAAATTATATTAATATAATTAATATATTTAAAATAAAAAATAATATATATAATATTCGGGACGGGACGGGACGTCCCGATGGTAATCCCGTGTCCCGTCCCGTCCGAACCTCTTTCCTGTCCCGTCTCGATTAGTTTCAGGCCGGGACAAGACCCGTCCCGATATGATCGGGACGATACCGGGCCAATCGGGACGGGTCCGGACTGAACACCCCTAATTTAACCTGTCCCTCAATGACTCTACTATCCAGGCATGTCTAAAACTTGTATTTTATGGCATAGTTTGTGTTAATTTTTAGGATATAAAAATCCACTCTTTAATATGTGAATTTGAAAAGGTTGAGTTGAGATATGTTAATTTTTGTGAAGTTTGTCTTAATTTTTTTTATATATTTTATAAAAACAATAAAATGAAAAAAATATTAAAAAACTTCATAAAATTATCAATTTTGAATAATTTAAATCCTTAAAATACATATGTCACGATTTCTGAGTAGTGAAAGTAATTATTCATAATTTAACCAAAAAATTATTTTGAAGGTTAATTAAATATATTAAAGATAGTGTTTAAATTGATGAATTTGAATTTTTGATTTAAAATTCATATATTTGAAAATATTTATTTTGATTATATAAAAAATTAAAGAAAAAAAGACAAGTTTTTGAAGTGAAAACATAAACACTACTACAGAATAGATTTTTCATGTCACATTTTTAGGCATTTTCACGACACAATTGAAGGAGGCATCATACTGGACGACTTAGAATAATGGTTTATCCACGTCACAAATGCCTATGACGTGAAATATCATTAATCACGTCCCCTTTAATAATAAGTGAGGTCATTTTTACAAAATTCACATCCCCTTTATCGGTGGTGGACGTGGCTTATAAAGAAACCACATCCCCCTCTAGTAAGAGAGACATGGTTTCTCATTGTCTAGTTCATAGATTAAGAAATCACATACGTGGTTTCTCATCTAGATTCACAAACCACGTCCCTTTCTACTTATAGGGGGACATGGTTTTTAAAATTTTTTTATATATAATTTGCATTTATTATACAACTAAAATAGAATTTACCAAAATATGTCAAAGAAACAATCAATTCATACAGCGAAAGTTTAATAAATAGCAATTCATTTACAACTATTTATATACTATCACAACAAAATACACCAAACGCAATGAAAAAACAAAATGATTGCACCTATAATTATAAAATTACCTAAAATAATAAGTACATATTTTCATGGGCTCAAATAAAATTTAAGCATCATAATATCATATACATCATCTAAAACTAAAATTAATTGATCACATTCTTAGGTCAAAACAAAAATCACATTCTTGCTTGGAGACCTGTTCAAGAAAATAAAAAAACAAGGAAAAAAAATACCTAGAGAAAAGAGAAGAGGCCCTTAGTCGTGAGTGGCTGGGTTTCTTCGTTCACAGAGCTGCGGAGAGAGACAGAGGCAAGGAGGAAGCTAGGAGATAAGAGATAGAGAGCGAGGGAGGGAGTTGAGAGATGAGAGACAAAGACAAGGAGAGCTGAGAGAGAGAGTGAGAGAGGGAGCTAAGAAAAGAGAGACAGAGAAAAGAAATGAGGAAGTTGAGATGAGAGAGGGAGCTATGAGGGAGATAGTGAAAAGAGATGAGGCAGCTAAGACAAGAAAGGGAGCTGCGAGGGAGACAAAGACATAGCACAGGGAGTTAACACACTAGTTTTGAAAAAAAAGTGAGTATGCATGGAGTTCAAAATTTTAACATATTATACATCCCCCTCCTAGAAGGGGGACGTGTATTTGAGAATCCACATCCCCTTTAGAATCCATGTCCCCTTCCCAGTTGGGGGATGTGAATTAATGTGTGTGTGTGTGCTTTTTTTTTTCAATCAGCTAGATTGACAAAAAGAAGAGATGAAAGCATGGAATTGAAACCCGGACCGGACCGGACGGATCAACTCGAAAATTGATGACTCGGTCTCTTATCTGGTCTAGGTTTACTCCTAAACTGGTAATGAAATGAACCGGTGTAACTCGGGTTCAACCCGATATAACCCGGTTAACCCGATGGGTTGACTGGGTTAACCTGGTTTTTTTTTTGAATTTTTTTTTCATTTTTAATTTTTCAGAGTGCTGAGTTCAGAAATAAGATAACAAAAAAAAAGTAAAACTAAAGTCAAAAAATGAAAAATTAGAGGTAGAGTATGCTAAGTTCAATCCAAATTTTCAAACAGCATTTAGTTCAGCCTTTCATATGTGTCTCTCCTCTCTCGCCCTAACCTAATCATCGTCTCTTCTTTAGCTTAGTCTCCGTCTCTTCTCTAGGCTCCTGCTTTATTTTGTCTCTTCTTCAGCTCTATCTCTATCTCTTCTGTAGACTTTTGAGATTGAAGAGTTATAATTATAATGATAGATATTTAAAGTGTTGTATTTTATTACTGTTAGACTTTTGAGTGGTTGGATTTGATTGAATGTTTTTATAATTAATGTCTTTTTATTTAAATTGTATTATTTTAATTATGACCGGTTTGCCATCGGTTCAACCCTAATTGAACCACTAACCCGTGACCCAGTGCCATGATCGGTTCAATGACCGGTTCGATTTTACATACCTTGGATGAAAGTGATAAATGTACCAACAATGAAAATACAAATAGAATAAGATGATTGGATAGTAGCTAAAATTTTAAATGAGCAAAGTATAAGAATTTAAAATTATAAAAAATTATAATAATAAATATATTTAAATTTTATAGATTCAAATCCATAAATTTTCATGTACCAAATAAAAAATTTGACCTAAATCATAACCTAAATTCAAATCACTATTAATCTGAACGTAGCGTGAAAGATTAGTTTTCCTGTAAATCCATTAATTGATAGTCGCAACTCGCAATTATTGACAAAAAAAAAAAAAAGATTGTCGCAACTCGCAAGTCCGCAAAGCCGTTAACCAAATTTCGTATCTGATTGAAATGCTTGAACGGAAATTGTTTCGTTTCGTTGTTTCTACAAGCTTTTTTTTTTTTTTTATTGGGGGGGGGGGAGGCTGGCGTCAGTTGCCGTCCTGATTGTATCAAAAAAGGTAAGAGTATTAACATTTGTGACGTGATTATTTCTAAAAATAATTTCTGGCCAATAGAAAAAAAACCTATTTTTTCATAGCCGAAAACTTCTATATAATCCGCCCCTCTTGCCTCAGCCTGATGTCTCCACCAAAATCATCCATAGGTGCCCACGCGACGCCCGTAAGCTTCCTCGCTGCAACATCGAACTCATCAAATTCACTTCCCCACACGCACACACACAAACAGAAGGAGGCGCATGTGTATGGAGATTACTGCCATATCTCTGCTACTCACCATCATCGTCCTCTCCACTTGCTTCGTCTTCCTCTCTTATCCCTCCATGAAAAAGCGACGAAACCCTCAAGAACTCACTGCTAAACTCCCTCCTGGCTCAATGGGCTGGCCTTACGTTGGAGAAACCCTTCAACTCTACTCTGAAGATCCCAATCGCTTCTTCGCTTCCAAGCAGAAAAGGTTCTCTCTATCATATCTCTTATATATATTGCTGTCGATCTCTTCCATGAAGCTTATAGGTCATCTCAGAGCTTTCTTAATTTGCAGATATGGAGAGATCTTCAAAACGCACATTCTAGGGTGTCCCTGTGTGATGCTGGCAAGTCCTGAGGCTGCGAGGTTCGTGCTGGTGACTCACGCGAACCTGTTCAAACCCACATATCCCAGAAGCAAAGAGAGACTGATCGGTCCTTCTGCATTGTTCTTTCACCAAGGAGAGTACCATTCTCGTCTCAGGAGGCTCGTCCAAGCTTCTCTTTCCCCAGAAGCTATCAGAAAACTCGTCCCAGATAGCGAATCCACCGCCATTTCTGCTCTCCACTCCTGGGCTTCTCGTCCACAAGTCATCATCATCTTCCACGAAATGAAAAAGGTATGTCATCATGATCAGTCTTTTTGTAAATATATAAGTATGTTTTGAGACTAACGTGGGTGAGATCGATCACAAGAAATGTCTAACTGAAAGAGGAATTTGAACTTGAGAGTTGAAGTTGGCGCTGGGGATATAGGTCTTGTCTTATTCGTTGTTATTTATGACACGCATGGCGTTGGATTTTGTTATCATCTGCGGGGCTATATTCTAATAATGTCAATGAATTATTGCTGCTTTATTTACGACCCTGTGACAGTTCTCTTTCAACATCGGTATCCTGTCTGTGTTTGGTCACTTGGATAGCAATTATAGAGATCAGCTCAAAGAGAACTATGCCATTGTTGACAAAGGTTACAATTCCTTCCCAACCAGCATCCCTGGAACTGCTTACTCCAAGGCTCTCCTGGTAATTAACAATCATTTCATTTCATGCTTATTTTCTTACTTTTTTTACACTTAACATCATTATAATTTGTTTCACCTGATTCACTCCGTTTCAAAATACTAGTCTTTTTAAGGTTTGTATACCGAGATTAAGGAATACAATTAATGGGTTAGAATTTCATTTAATTTATATTTTCAAAGTTTCCCTTATTTACGTAAATGCCATGCATTCAAAATATAAACAAGGGCGGATATGGAGTAATAATGGAAAAGGTATCAACAAATAATAATGTTGCATTAAAATTCTAAAAGGGCATGTGAAATGGAACTAAATTTTCTTTCTAAAAATACCAATTAGTATTTTGAACGGTACGGGAGAGGATATATTAGTATTTATCTGAATGTATAATTATCGTGTATATTAAAATAAAAAATTTAAATAAAATTTTTACCTCTCGACCTTAATTTAATACAGAAATTAGATTTCTTATATTTTTATTTATATGTTTAAATAAAGTGTAATACACAAGTAATAAATTCATGATTCATCATCAAGGCAAGGAAGAGAATAAATGAGATCATTAGCGAGATAATTGGCAAGAGGAAAGAGCAGAGGGTGATGGAGAACGATCTTTTGGGGCATATGTTGAAGTACAAGGACGAAAAGAGCCAAGCTCTTAGTGATGATCAGATTGCTGATAACGTGATCGGAGTCCTATTTGCTGCTCAGGACACAACAGCCAGTGTCCTCACATGGATCCTCAAGTATCTTCACGATGACCAGAAGCTTCTTGAAGCTGTCAAGGTAAGAGAATAGATTTGTCATATCCAAGTAGGCCACAAATATAACAGTGTTTGAATGTGATTAGGAAGATCTCTGTGCATCAGTGTATTTAATTACTAACTAGTCAACAATAACTGTGATGCAGACAGAGCAAATGGCAATTTATGAAGCCAACGAAGAAGGAAAGAAGCCCTTAACTTGGAGTCAGACGAGAAACATGCCTGTTACTTATAAAGTATGTTAACAGCGATAAAGTTAAGATCTTAAATCAGGAAATGCAGAATAATATAATTTAAAAAATATTATAAATTTTAAAATTAATTACATTAAGCAAACAATATAAGAACCTAAATAAAATCATACATATTTTTATTTGGGCAAATTATATTGAGAACGTTAATATAGAATTTAAATTTAGACTCCACATATTTTTATTGAATTTCAAGAGTTTAAAATGCCAAAGATATGGGGTACAAGGATGTAAATTTTCCATGCTACTTTTGTAATTGTTCCCATGTGAACTCCTACCACTCACACGAGCGTGGGTACACGTAGGTGGTCCTACACTACTAGTTCTTTCTAGGAGCTAGGCTAGAGGGATTTTATTGTTTCTTTCATGAATTGGTTTTCTCATTATAAGAATACTGTTCATTTCGCAGGTGATACAGGAGAGCCTCAGGATGGCTAGTATCATTTCCTTTACATTCAGGGAAGCTGTAGAAGATGTAGTGTACAAAGGTAAGATTTAAGATTATGAAGCATAATATATTTTTAAACAATAATATAATTTTTAGTCCATAATTTTTTTAATCATTAATTTAATTCCTAAACTTTGATTTAATATAAGTCAATGATTGTGCTTTTATTGACTTAAGGAATTATAAAGATATTGGATTGTATCAAGTATCAAAGGTTATATTTTTCTCTTTTTTTACATCCTATTTGGTGCATGAATTGTAAATAATATGCTTTATTAATTAATGAACTGTTCAGGATATTTGATACCAAAGGGATGGAAAGTTATGCCTCTGTTCAGGAATATCCATCATAATCCAAAATTCTTCCCAACTCCTCATAGTTTTGACCCTTCAAGATTTGAGGTAGGCTGTGGGAGAATAGATGATGAGAAGGCTTTGAATATTATTGCATTCAAACTATAAATCGTTTTCTTTTTGGAAAAAAGGGAAAGAGGAAACTAAATCAAAATTGCAAATATTTTTTGTATGGATCATTCAGGTTCCTCCAAAGCCCAACACTTTTATGCCATTTGGAAATGGTGTCCATTCTTGTCCAGGAAATGAGCTAGCCAAGTTGAATATGCTCATTTTTATCCACCATTTGGTCACCAAATTTAGGTAACTCCTCTCTCCCCTTCATTTCACTCTGAAATTATTTTTCATTGAAAAAAGGTTAAAAAATAATTGCTTACACATTTTTAATAATATTTAACATAGCTAATTATCCTCACAGTCAATGTTCTTGTAAAATTTAATAAGTTTCATATTAAAATTATGTATATGTATATATATTATTTATGATAAGAGCGAACACACACTCATTACGTGATGCCTACTTTTTTGAAAAATTAAAATAAAAAGTGTAAGTCAAGAAAAAAACATTTAATTAAACAGTTTTAGTTTCTTTATGATTTGTTTGGCCAGCATCATGTTTAACAGAATGAGGACGGACATTAACAATTTTTTTTTTTTTTATGTTGGTTGGCAGGTGGGAACTGGTGGGAAATGAGAAGGGGATTCAGTACAGCCCATTCCCAGTGCCTCTCCATGGTCTTCCTGCAAGATTTTGGAAGAAGTAATTATATTTTATTATTTCCCTTTTCCTTCTTATTATTTATTAACTACTAATATTTCCATAATCGCTCCTTAACCCTCCAAAAGCCTCTCTGTTTTTTTTTTCTCGAGTGAGGTTAATTTATATGGCCTTTCCATTTTTCTTTAATTTCTCTATATATGTAACAGCTTTGTACGTACCTATTAATTTGTAATTGTAAGTGCTGAGATATTAAAAATATATATACACGTTTAAGGCAGGTGTTTAATCTCTGGGTATGCAGTTATATTAATTAAATTATTTTTACCATATTTATTATATATTAGCAACTCCTCTACCTCTCTTTCTCATCGAATATGATTAAATCCGACCAGTTGGCTAGGGTCTGTTCAAGTTTTTTTATCAATAAAAATTGGTGTATATAGATTGCTTCAAACCAAATAAAAAGTTTTAATTATATAGTGTGCGTGTGTGGATTTCATTCATATTAGTTAAAAGAATTTGTTGAATGTAAAATAATATTTGGAGACCCATGAGAATGAGATACATACCATTTGATTTTCTTAAATAGTCAAACTTATGGTAATGGTTAATAAGTTATCAAGTTTGAATGTAAAGTAATATTTGGAGACCCGTGAGCATGAGATGCATAATTTGATTTTCTTACATAGTCAAACTGATGTTAATGGTTAATAAGTTATCAAGTTCGAATGTAAAGTAATATTTGGAGACACATAAGAATAAGATACATAACATTTGATTTTCTTAAATAGTCAAACTCATGTTAAAGATATTTTCTTTTTTACGCTTGACCAACCCCAAGTATTTGTCTCCTTTATTTCATCACGTTCACGTTCTCTAAACATGGCAATAAAGGGGGCCAAAAAAGTTAAGCAACGTGGCTACGTTTGCATGGTGGGGAGTGCCTATTGATTGACGTTGAGATTCACGACCTGCGGTTCATAAAGAGCCACGTGTTGCATACTAATTAGGCTGCGCGAAAGGAAGACACGCCTTTACCCAGACGGATCTATAGGTCTTTTGGCAGAATTATATCCCTTGCTGATCCTTCAAAAATGGCATCCCACTAGCGCCGCACAAAAGGTTGAATAAAATTGAACTTCAACCTAATCTGGAATTTGATTTTTTGTATGAAAATGGTTGAGTTAGGCAATACGTAATCTGATCTGATCTTATAATAATCTGAAAATTAATAGGATCGGACTTGGTCCATAAAATTTAGAGACTGGTCCTGTTAGTCCAGTACTCACTTGATCTTTTTTTTTTTCTTTTTTTCTCTATGATAAGCAATAATCCATTTTAACTTAGCAAACTCAATTAAGATAATAAACATACTTGTAATCATAATAAATTCATAATGATTTCTAACAGTAAAAAAAATATGTAACAAAAGCATTCCTCTGAGTCTGCATACCGATCACAGATGTAACATGTACAGCATGTCAAACTCCCTGCAAGCATTTAGAAGTGGCTATCCGATCATCACTCTGGTCAAAAGTTACACTGAAAGCAACCAGCATAGGACCCCAGCAGACTTCCCTATAAAACTCAATATTGCCACATCTGTGATAGCATGATAAACGGATCTGCAACAAGTAAAATTGGAATCCCCACAAATGAGTAGCATATACAAAATGAAGAGCCTTAACATGCTAAAATATTTGTTTCAATGTCACACACATTATTGAAAGCAATCATGGTAGCATAATCAAATAGAAATTCCACATATATGAAAGAACAGCATAAAAACTCTAAAAAGATAGAATTAGTATGATTAGCTTTGTAAGAGAGCACATTTCCACAAAAACATTCGTAAAGTTGGTCAATATTTTATCTTACTCTGATTTTCCAGACTTCGACTTAAACTGCTCCTGAATGTGACGGATGAGAAGGCCATTTACACCTACCACTTCATCCTCATTTTGTTGCCGGTTCATAAGGTTGAGTAAACCATCCAAACCCACCAATCTATTAAAGCTATTTGCCTGTTTGCTCTGAGATGCAGAAGAATCATCATTCATCTTGATTGTACTTTTAACAATTTGATCATACAGGGCACCAAGATATGCTTTTGGCAAATCCTTGCCATCATCTATTCCACGGTTGTTTCGAATAAAATCAGCCTTTGTCATCTGGAAGGTCATCAACACACAATGTAAACCAAAAACTCATGTCAAACCCACATTCAACATAATCAAGTGAATGAATAATAATTTAGTTAAAAAAGGAAAATGGCTCCTCAAATTTTTATCACTGCATAAACCTTTCATGTCTCAACTAAATTGAACATTGTATAATTAAAACTAAACACTTACCTTTGATGCAACAATAAATTAATTTTGGGAAGACAATTTCTCTTTAAATTTTCCAAAAGTTCCTAGAAAAGCATCATGAAAATATTATCAAAGGAGACAAGCTTAACCAATAATGACATTTGAACTGGTCTTTAACCTCAGATATCCAAAATGCTCCCATCAAAAATAACATAAACTCAATCCCTTTACCACTTAATATTTCATTGTATGAGTGAACAAGGTTATTCAAGAAGGTGTTTATTTTCATTTTACAGATCAACTATCATTAATCATACGATTACTTTATGTCTTTTTAACAAAGGTCGCATCTAAAACTCATACTCTAAGTCACATAAGTTGGTTATATAAAGAAATGCCTATTTAAACTGAAATCCATTTTGATGTGTTGATGCTGCTATTTATGGGAAATAACCTCACATCAGACCCCGGAAGCTTTCCAGCCAAACTGAACAAATTGGGTCAAGACTCAAGAAGAACTTGCATTTTCTTAGTTCATAGGGGCATCTAAGCAATAAAAATATCACTATAAAATGCCTCAACTCTCAATAGCAGCACTAATATGAAAAGTTCAGTATCAACCACAAGCAATAAACCGAAGTAAATTTGGAAACTCTAACACTGGTTTTCACATACTGGGCGTGTTTGATAGTATGACGTGCTCGACAGTGCGGGAATTGACAGTGAAGTGTGCTTGACAGTGCAGGAGCTCAATTAATAGTGAATCAGAGGTCAGGGTGATAGAGAACAGGGGCGATGGTGTGACATGCTAGCGTGCTCAACAGTGCGACAAGCTCGATAACTTGTGTGCGGCAATGAATCAGAGGTCAAGGGTGATGGAGAGTAAGGCCGAGCGATGGTGCAACATCACCAACGCGATTGACAGTAGTGGTACATTAGAGGAAGGCAAGGGCTAGGGCTTCGGCGCTTTGCTTGTGTCTGTGAGAAACTGAGAATGAGTGTTGTTAAGGCCTGTGGCTTAAGACTCAAGTGCGTGTAAAAAAGAAATTAACTGTGTAAAGTGCAAGACTTTTTTTTTTAATTAGAGTGTAAAGTGTAAGACTTATTAATTAAAAATTTACAAATTAATTTTAATTATATTAAAATAATTATATAGGACCAAATCGGACCACTTAGTCCAGATACTTGGTCTCTAGTCCGGCCTTACCTAAAAAATCAGTCTTATTTTTTTGGCCTTTTTGGTCCTACAAGACCAGTGTTTTACAGGATCGAGTTTTCACAGGTCGGACCAAGCCAAACCAGACCACGAGACTTTTGCACAACCCTATATCTCACAATGGATCATAAATATCAGCAATTTCATACTCCCTTCATTAAAAAATATAAAATATATTTTTTAAGAAGTTAAATATTAAAAAATATAAAGTATTTTTAATCTTTCGAGATGTAATCATTACCTTTTTTTAAAAGTGTCCTTATTGATAATGACTTTATATTTATTATAGGGTGTTTAATAGAGATAAATATGAAAAGATAGAGTTAGTTGAAAAGTAGGTAACTACTTTATTGGAGGTAAGATTCGGTTAAAAATACCTTACATTTTTGAACGGAGGGAGTACTTTTCATAGTTTAAATAATTAAATTAATAATATAATAATCAAATAAAAAATAATGTTTATATATTTATGTATATATATAAATAAAATATTCTATCTGTTTTGAAAATATAAAATATTTTTAATTAAATCTCACCTCTTAATAAACTAGTTGTTTGTTTTTAAACTAACATCATCTTTTTATATTTATCTATATTTAATAGGGTATTTTATTCTAAAATAAATATAAAGTAGTTTATTTATAGGGCCACTTTAAAATAAAAATACAATGATTGTATTTTGAAACTCTAAAAAAGCCTTCTATTTTTTAATATTTAACTTTTCAAAAAATTTCATGCATTTTTTAACTGAGGGAGCATTAGAAATACTAATAATATCATTATTAGTTTGAATTTTTTCAATCATAATATATTAAATTTTAATATTATATATATTTACCTTATTTGTTCTTTTAAAATAAATAAATTTTTAATTTTCTCTACACTTTCATTTATACAATGTTAATAAACAAATCCACTCAAGATTTTTACAATAATAATCTATATGTAAGTTGACATTAATATTTTTAAATTGAATAAAAAATTATTACTAAAATGAGAGTTAAAAAAAAAAGGGTCAAAACAATCCAATCGATCCAAATTTTAAGGTTTTGTCAGGTTTTTAAAATCTGCTCAACCTAGAGTAGGCTAGCATGGACCAACTACTAAGATATATTAAATGGTTGAATTAAACAACTTTTTTCATCAGTTTAATTAGTCAAACTATTCGAGTTCAAAACATTGTTCATTACTATATATTTAATACTAGGGAGGATGTCAATAAGTGCCCTTAAGGGAGGGGGGAGAAAAAAGTAATGAGGGCTTTGAATAACTAAAGATTCATCTGTGCATAAGTCAATTGTTAAATTTTTAGTTTGGTATAGATGAACTTTCAGTTACTATAGACTCTTTTTACTTTTTCCCTCTCTCGTAAGGGTCACCTCTGTTATTCTCCCTTAATACTACATTATTTTAGTTTTTGACGTAGTCATGAAATTTTTTTCACCTTTTTATTCCACACCAGATTTCTATATCTCGTCGTCAAATTTATCTTGAAACATGGGTGTTATTATTTAATTACTTAGCAAATGTGTCGAAATTAGTAGAAGATACATGTGCACAAAAATTATTAAAAGTCCATTTGATAAAAATAATTAATAATTATAATTTGAGTGCCGGTAACAATGCAACAAAGAAAAATATTCTTATATACTTCCTCCTTTTAAAAATATAAAGCATTTTTTGAGGAGTTGGATGTTTAAAAATATAAAACATTTTTAGTCTTTTAACGTGTAATTATTGTATTTTTTTCAAAAGTGT